CCGGAAACATCAGCTTTCCTGCTCCTCTGATGCTGCCTGGCCTGCTGTGTTCGTCCAGCTCCACACCTTGTTATCTCATGCTCCAGCATCGGCAGTTCCTACTATCTCTGAGGTTGTGAAAGATGTTTTAAGATACAGACTTTATTTTTCCTTTCATTTCTGAACAATATCTTGTTGAAGCTTGTGAGTGTGTGTATGCATCAATATCAGGGAGAGAGTAGGATTGTTTGGGTCCAATTTCCCACAGTTCGATGCCATGTCTGCATCCAGTGTCCATGATAACACATAGAGTCATAGAGATGTACAGCATGGAAACAGACCCTTCAGTCCAACTAGTCCATGCCAACCAGGTATCCTAAATTAATCTACTCCCATGTGTCAGCATGTGGCTCATATCCCTCCAAACCCTTCCTATTCATATACCCATCCAGATGCCTTTTAAATGTTGTAATTATACCAGCCTCCACCACTTCCTCTGGTGGTTCATTCCATAAAAGCACCACCCTCTGCATGAAGAAGTTGCCCCTCAGGCCCCTTTTATATCTTTCCTCTCTCACCTTAAACCTATGACGTGGTGTTGGTCTAAGGTGGACAAGGTCAGAAATCAGACAACACCAGGTTATAGTCTAACAGGTTTTATTTGAAATCACAAGCTTTTGGAGTGCAGCCCCTTCATCAGATGGAGTGAGAGAGAAGCACACAGACACAGAATTTATGGGCAGAGAGATCAAAACATCGTACAAATGGTATGAGTGGAGTGTCGACTAATGAGTCTCGGCAGGTGATCAAAAGTGTCAGACAGTGTAAGTGAAGTGTCAACAGCTAAATAACAAGCGAAGGGATGACCTATAATCTGATTAAATGAGGCAGAGAGATAATTACAAAAAATTAAAAATAAGGTGGTGCTGGAGACAAACCAAATGACTAAAATAACATGATAGGTATAAGAGTCGTATGCTGAGGGTCTAACCAAAGTAATAAGTAATCCAAAACTGCACAAACTAATTAAGTTCGAGAGATCATAACAATTTATCAAGGTGATGGTGTCAAAATACGACAGTAAGGAAGATTTTACAGATACAGAACAGTGTGGTGGGGTCACATGTAGCGCGACATGAACCCAAGATCATGATTGAGGCTGTTTTCATGGGTGCGGAACTTGGCTATCAGCCTCTGCTCGGTGATTCTGCGTTGTTGTGTATCACGAAGGCCACCTTGGAGGACACTTTTCTGAAGATTGGAGGCTGAATGTCCTTGACCACTGAAGTTTTCCCTGACTTGGAGGGAACACTCCTGTCTGGCCAATGTTGCTCAGTGTCCATTTGTCCCTTGTCATAGCATTTGCATGGTTTTGCCAATATACCATGCCTTGGAGCATCCTTGCCTGCAGCATATGAGATGGACAGCATTGGCCAAGTCACATGAGTATCTGCCGTGTACATGGGGGATGGTGTTCCCACGTGTGACAGTAGTGTCCGTATCAATGATCTGACATGTCTTGCGGAGGTTGCCATGGCAGGGTTGTGTGGTGTTATGAACGACGTTGTCCTGAAGGCTGGGTAGTTTGCTGCGAGCAATGGTCTGTTTAAGATTTAGCGGTTGTTTGAAGAAGTGGAGGCGTGGGGAAGACCTTGATGAGATGCTCGTCATCATCAATGACATGTTGAAGGCTGTGAAGAACATAGCATAGTCTGTCCACTCCAGGGAAGTACTGGATGACGAAGTGTACTGTATTGGTCGTATCGTGAGTCTGACTTCTGAGGAGGTCATTGCAGTTTTTCTGTGTGGCACGTCAGAACTGGCGATCATTTAATCAGATTATAGACCATCCCTTCGCTTGTTATTCAGCTGGTGACACTTCACTCACACTGTCTGACACTTTTGATCGCCTGCAGTGACTTATTATTCAACACTCCACTCATTCCATTTGTATGACATTTTGATCTCTCTGCCTGTAAATTGTGTCTGTGTGCTTCTCTCTCACTTCACCTGATTAAGGGACTACGTTCCAAAAGCTTGTGATTTCAAATCAAACCTGTTGGCCTATAACCTGGTGTTGTCTAATTTTTGACCTTAAACCAATGCCCTCCAGTTTTTGACTCCCC